CTGAAACTTCCACCGATATTTTTGTTCTGTAAAGATGACGTTGGCTCTCACTTTGTGTATCGATCGTTAGCTTTGGATGTGATGGGATTTGCCGCTCTTACCGACACGGGCTTCGCTGCCTTAGCTGATTCAGACCTGGCTCAGGCTAGTGCTGGAGCGCGCTTGGCGTTGAGGAATAACTTTGTCCAGTTAACTTCTTGGGATTGCGTGCAATCAGTAATTCAAACACTCTTTCCACAGCAATGACTCAATCATTGTTATGTGTTAAGCGTTTTACTCCATTCATCGAAGCACTCGATGTCCATATGCGGAGTAGTCTGCAATGCTTATTTTTCGTATGAAAGCAGGCAATTCGTGTAGCTTGATTTGACGTGAAGATGACCACGACTGTTGAAAACATGATGCGTTTTTGATGCGAAAAACATGATGTTCCGTGTGGCTTGTTTGAAGTTTCACGAGTACTTGTCATGAGCTGCCTGTCGCGAAGTTGTCAGGTGGTCTCGAGGCTTCGTTTGGTATTCTGCGTGGCACGTAACGCCTGTCGGTTGACAAAGGTCAAAATAGCGCGATCTGTGACGGGATTAGGGGGAGGAGGGGGGGGGGAAGACCAGCGTTATTGATTACTGCAGGAGTTTTTCCGAAGCGATCACGAGATCCTGGGATAACTGATTAAGAAACAGCCTGCGGACGGGCGTGGTTGGCAAAATAGCCTAGGCGTTAGGGACGTAGTCGATAGGAACATGTTTGCGTACGTGGTTGCTGCCCATCATCAGAACTCCATGTGCCACTACGACCAGACGTCTCCCGATTACTGCGGAAACGGCCTGGCATCGGATGCCCGACTGCACCTCCTGGCTCCGGACATGGCAGTCGTATCGACTGGCTCGGACGGGGCGGCCGGGCGCCCGCCGCGGTCCGACCGCGGCCTGGCCGTGAGCGTCGCGTGACCGCGCGCCACATCGGCGGCCGGCGGCGCGGCGGGATAAGCCGGCGCGGGTCTGAGTCGGCGTTATAGCCCGGCAGCAGCGGCGGCCGCCGGGCCAGGCATCGTGTTAGCAGCTGTGCGCGGCCGTCGCGGATCAATAGCGGCCGACTGCAGCAGGCACCTGTCGTCACGCGCCTCTCCCGCCCTCCGTGGGTCCGGCCGGCCGGCCGGCCGCCGACCGGTGTCGGCCCGGCGCGTGGCACCCGTCGGCCGTCACCCGTCCCTCCAATGCCGTGCTCAATCAACATCGGCAGATGCCCCGCAGGCGCGTCCCTTCTGCCGATCCTGGCCACATGGCTCTCCGGCGTGTCCGGCCGGCGCTGGGCAGATGTGCTCGCGTTCCTGGTCGAACCGGGCGTGGTCGGATGTCTCCCCCCCCCCCGGCATCCGCTGGGCAGATGTGTTCGCGTTCCTCGTCGAACCGGGCGTGGTCGGATGCCCCCCCCCCCCCCCCCATCTCCACAACCGGACATGTTCAGATGGGTCACCGTTCTGCCGTCTGACCGGTCGACCAAATTCATGCACCGTTACCCACCGTTTGTTGGTCCAGCCGACCATGGCTGGATGCCTCCTGTGGTGACCAAGAGAATCCATGCTTGCGCAAAGCGTGATGAAAGGCAGCCTTTGGTTGTCGCGTGGGTTCCTTAGTACCTTTAGCGCGGAAATAAAAGACACCGTAGGTAAGGAACGACACATGATTACAGTTAAGAAACCCTCATCTGGGAAAGCGTGGTCAGCAGTGTCAATGCTTTTGGAACGGCACACATACACCTGTCACCGCTCCCATTCGTTTCCGTGCCAACTGAGGTCTCTATTGTATCAAGTAGGCAGTTAGGCTCTATTGTATCAAGGCGGTGATGCCAGGCAGAGTGGTAAGGCCGTCTGAAGTCTGGATCACTTCTTATTGCCATTCAGCCTCTGTTTCATCGATCCGTTTGTGCCGGCACCCTCGGTCCTTCCGCCCGGCCACTATCGATCTTTCGACGTGTCCGTCGTGCCCAAGGTAACAGCGCTTGACGCAGTCGATCACGGGCAGACGGTGGCTGCTTTCCGTCCAGCTGGCCCTCCCTCGCAGTCTGACGCAGGCGAGCACGAACTGTTCGTCCAGCCGGCCCTCCCTCGCAGTCAGACGCAGTCGATCACAGACAGACGGTGACTGTTGTCCGTCCAGCCGATCCTCCCTCGCAGTCTGACGCAGGCGATCACAGATAGACGGTGACTGTTGTCCGTCCAGCCGACCGTCCCTCGCGGTCAGACGCAGTCGATCACAGACAGACGGTGACTGTTGTCCGTCCAGCTGGCCCTCCCTCACAGTCTGACGCAGGCGATCACGGACAGACGGTGACTGTTGTCCGTCCAGCCGATCCTCCCTCGCAGTCTGACGCAGGCGATCACAGACAGACGGTGACTGTTGTCCGTCCAGCCGTCCCTCCCTCGCAGTCAGACGCAGTCGATCACAGACAGGCGGTGACTGTTGTCCGTCCAGCTGGCCCTCCCTCACAGTCTGACGCAGGCGATCACGGACAGACGGTGACTGTTGTCCGTCCAGCCGATCCTCCCTCGCAGTCTGACGCAGGCGATCACAGATAGACGGTGACTGTTGTCCGTCCAGCCGACCCTCCCTCGCGGTCTGACGCAGTCGATCACGAGCTGTCCGTCCAACCGGCCCTCCCTCGCAGTCTGACGCAGGCGATCACGGACTGTCCGTCCAGCCGGCCCTCCCTCGCAGTCTGACGCAGTCGACCACGGACTGTCCGTCCAGCCGGCCCTCCATCGCAGTCTGGCGCAGGCGATCACGGACTGTCCGTCCAGCCGGCGCTCCCTCGCTGTCTGACGCAGGCGATCACGGACTGTCCGTTCAGCCGACCCTCCCTCGCTGTCTGACGCAGTCGATCACGGACTGTCCGTCCAGCCGGCCCTCCATCGCAGTCTGACGCAGGCGATCACGGACTGTCCGTCCAGCCGACCCTCCCTCGCCAGCTTGACGCAGTGGATCGCGGGCAAGCGCGTAATTGTTGTCTGTCCAGCCGACCTCCCTCGCAGTCTGACGCAGTCGATCACGGACTGTCCGTCCAGCCGACCCTCCCTCGCAGTCTGACGCAGGCCATCACGGACTGTCCGTCCAGCCGACCCTCCCTCGCAGTCTGACGCAGTCGATCACGGACTGTCTGTCCAGCTGACCCTCCCCCGCCAGCTTGACGCAGTCGATCACGGGCAAGCGCGTAATTGTTGTCCGTCCAGCCGACCCTCCCTCGCGGTCTGACGCAGTCGATCACGGACTGTCCGTCCAGCCGGCCCTCCCTCGCAATCAGACGCAGGCGATCACAGACAGGCGATGACTGCTGTCCGTCCAGCCGACCCTCCCTCACAGTCTGACGCAGGCGATCACGGACTGTCCGTCCAGCCGGCCCTCCCTCGCAGTCCGACGCAGGCGACCACGGGCTGTCCGTCCAGCCGGCCCTCCCTCGCTGTCTGACGCAGGCGATCACGGACTGTCCGTCCAGCCGGCCCTCCCTCGCTGTCTGACGCAGTTGATCACGGACTGTCCGTCCAGCCGGCCCTCCCTCGCCAGCTTGATGCAGTCGATCACGGGCAAGCGCGTAATTGCTGTCTGTCCAGCCGATCCCCCTCGCCAGTCTGCTGGCGGATGAGGTGAGATATGACAGATGTTACCGAAGGTCTACAGACCCGTGAACTTCTGCGATTATCCGAAGGCTCTCATCCGTTTACTAGATCTTTGTGGTTTGTTCTGAACTCATGCCGGGCAATTGCAATTCTGAAAAAACGAGTTTGAATCCTGTCATTGCTAAACAGCTTGGACGTCCCATACCAGGGATTCCAAGCTCTTTTTCAGCGAGGCGAAAATATTAGTTGTAGGAAGCATGTGCTAGGCCGTAATCGATGCAAAACAACGTCAATGCTGTAACTTGTCATGTGTGGTCAGCTGATCACGCTGTGACGCTATGGCCCAAAGTGCGGCCTTACTTGAGAGGACCACTTGAAATGCTTGAAGACACCAGCGTTCTCCCACTGGATTTACGAAACCGAAAAATAACTCACAAAGCCCCAGTTTTTGTCAGGTTATATCGCGCGCTTCGTGCTACATTTAACATTATAAAATTTGTTTGGTGATAGGTAGGATTCTAGGGAGTTGTCATCAATTACGTAAGTTGTTCAGTGCATTAACGAGGAACATTGTTCACAAAGATAAGACAGTAGTATTAGCCTTAATCCTCGGAGAAAAACAGGAGAATGGAGATATGGTTGGGTTGATGTTTCGGTAACATGCCTTTATCTAAACAATAGCAGGAGTGAATCAACCCGACTACACCTCCATTTTCCTGGTGTTCTCCGAGCAATAAGGGTAATACTTCTGTCTTATCTGTGAGTTATGTACAATATTTGCTTTACAAATTATTTCTTCTGCTGTCAGACTGTTCATAATCAGTGAACATCAAGTAAGATTTCTTGAAACCACCTGTAACCTTTCAAAGCATCCCACGCGAAATTGGGTTGTGAAGCCATTCAATAGTTGTTTTAAAAGTGGAACAGGAAGTAGTGACACGCGTGCACTTGTCTTTTGCTCGCGTCCCCGTAGCGCAGACGCGTAAAACACTGCCGCGCTGCCGACGCCGTTTTGTGGCGCTGACCTTCCGCGCCTCCCGCGTTAAAGCGGAACGCCGCGCGGATGCGCTTCATCGCAAAGATCGGGAAGGACTGACAGGTCGCAGGATGGATGTAGAAGTGCCACAGCACTTGTAGACGTAGCTAGACAAATATGCTTTGGTCGGCTCTTCAAGTCAAGCCTGGGTGCTGCTCCTGGCAGCGGGCTCTCTAGATCAGGCTCAGGTGCAACCCATGACACGGCAGATGATCTGGGGCCGCTTGGGGTGGCAGTGTCCGGCGGAGCCTCGGCTTGGCCGTCTGGGGTCGCTGCCGCCCCGCCGATGGGCCGCGCCGAGTCGTGGCCCTCTCCGCTGACGCCCACCCCCCCCCCCCCCTGCCTTGCCCGCAGCATGGACGGTGCCGACCTCTGCTTCGAGATCGTCAAGCGTGCGAACCTGGGCTTCGTCTACAGTGAGGCCGTGGCCAGGTGAGCGGGGCCGGGGCGCTGGGGCGGAGCGCGGCACGTCCCACATCGGCGTGCAGCGGTGCAGCGAGGTCGGCGGTGGGGAGCGGACCGGGGCGCTGGGGCGGGGCACGGCACGTCCCACGGCGGTGTGCAGCGGTGCAGCGAGGTCGTCGGTGGGGAGCGGTGCCGGGGCGCTGGGGCGGAGCACGGCACGTCCCACATCGGTGTGCAGCAGTGCAGCGAGGTCGCCGGTGGGGAGCGGACCGGGGCGCTGGGGCGGAGCACGGCACGTCCCACATCGGCGTGCAGCGGTGCAGCGAGGTCGCCGGTGGGGAGCGGGGCTGGGGCGCTGGGGCGGAGCACGGCACGTCCCACAGCGGTGCGCAGCGGTGCAGCGAGGTCGCCGGTGGCTCACCTGTGCATGCCGAGCAATGCGTCGCCTGCGCACTCTAGAAAGACTCGTGTGGTCCTGATTCTCGGTATCAAAGAGACTGATGCTGGTTTCGTTCTTCCGTTCCGTCTCTAAAAAAAGATGCAATCGGTAATGGAGACGTCATGATGCTGCGCTATGGGCACCTGCGCCAGGCGTAACAGCGCGTGGGTGCCAGCTGATACCGCTGTACATGTGGAAAACCTATTCCGTCCCCATGCGTTGGTCGAGTAGACCGCACGAATTTTCAATACCTGGAGCGGGTCACTAACGGGTTTTGGGTGACACAGCGTCTCGCACATATATGCCATTTTGATCGATATCCGAGTCTTACAAAGCATTTCATGTTTAATGTGAGGTTTCACACTATTGATAGCAGTAAATTTGCAAAAGGTTTGAGTAAAAATGTATGCTGGTAGCAAGTCACTAAATTCGAGTGCTTTTCCCATTTCGGCGATGGCAACATCCCAAGGGTTGGGGGCTAGAGCCTTTTGCGCGAGACAAGGTCCAGAGCCCAGATATCAGCGGGTCTGTGTACGGATAATGCCGCTGATGTGAGTGGGACTTCTCCATCATGCGGTTCGGTTGCACAGTGGGCGCCATTCATCATGCAGTTCGGGTGTGCAGCGGGGGCCCCATTCATCATGCAGTTCGGGTGTGCAGTGGGGGCCATCAATCACGCCGTTCGGATGTGCAGTAGGGGCCATCCATCACGCAGTTCGGGTGTGCAGTGGGCGACACTCATCATGCAGTTCGGGTGTGCAGTGGGGGCCATCAATCATGCGGTTCGGGTGCACAGTGGGCGCCATTCATCATGCAGTTCGGGTGTGCAGTGGGGACCATCCATCACGCAGTTCGGATGTGCAGTGAGCGCTGTCCATCACGCAGTTCGGATGTGCAGTGGGCGCTGTCCACCATGCAATTCGGGTGTGTGTTGTTGTTAAGTAGGGTTTTGGGCGCGCCGACTGCATAGGTCATGTTGCGCCCATAACGTTGTCATTTAGTTACAAGGATAGGGCCGGATGCGGGAAAGCGGGTAATGGGAAGCGGGCGGGACAAGGAGCAGGAGCTCACGTACTGGCAGGGTCGCTGCGCCCTGAGAAGAACAGCTTGCGCTGTCCACCCGTTACCGGAGCTGGGACCCGAGGGGCGCTAGTCCCCTACACCGGCCGAAGCCGGTGCCCCTGCGGGGTCGGGTGTGGTGGTTGGGTCGGGTCGGGTGTGGGGGGAGCTATCCATCATGCAGTTCGGGTGTGTAGTGGGAGCTTTCAGCATGCAGTTCGGGCGTGTGGTGGTAGCTATCCATCATGCAGTTCGGGTGTGTAGTGGGAGCTTTCCATCTTGCAGTTCGGGTGTGCATTGGGAGCTGTCCATCATACAGTTCCTGTGTGTAGTGGGAGCTGTCCATCATGCAGTTCCTGTGTATAGTGGGAGCTGTCCATCATGTAGTTTGGGCGCGTAGTGGGAGCTGTTCATCCTGTAGTTCGGGCATGCGGTAGGAACTGTCCATGATGCAGTTCGGATGTGCAGTGGAAGCTGTCCATCATACCACTGGGGTGTGCACCACGACAGTGAGCGGGCTGGTTCGGGCCAACTGGTCTTACTTCGCCACCGATGGCGGCTCTACCACACGCTGAAGTACCGCGGAAGTCTGGTGAACGGGGCGGTTCGGATGCTGTCATTGGCTGCAGAATTAGTGGTTTTTCTGTGGAAATGAAACTGAATTGCAATGAAGCATACTGTAGAAATGGGCGGATGCACAGTTGGTGCGATATTGGAAAGGAATGCAGAGGCAGGTGTTACAACGCACATTTGAGGGTTGTCATCTGGGGTTGTTTTATAGACTGAGTTCATCTCAAGATAAGTACGTTGTTCAGCCTTTTAACTTTCTGCGTTTATCGCGACCATAATACTGTGAATATGTGACAGAGCGTTGCAAAGTTATGTGCATGCCCGTTAAAATGACCTCTTGCATTCTGCGTGGTTACGATGATGACGGTGTGGCACAGAGAGTGGTAATCTGTTGCAGCCGGGTCACATCCGACGTGCTCCCACTCACCACCGGCTTGGGTGCTGCATTGCGCGCGATGTTTTCCTGTGCCCCGGCCTAACGCTGATGGCGTCCCAAATCTAGTTATTATGGATGGCATCTGCCAGATGGCACCCGGGTCAGTGGGATCCAGATGTGGCGGAGATGAGCCCGAATTTGGGGGGGGGGGCGATTGGGTTTCAGCGGATCGAGGACCAGCGCGTCTTGAAATTCAAAAGACGCCAAAGTTGAGCGTGCTTGAAAGGTGTTTTCAGGTCGGAACGTCACTGAGTGCATCCTGGCACGACACTGCCGTGGTGATCTCCCGTCGCCAAGTGAGGCTAAGAGGGGGAAGAGGGGCGTTGATTTCACCTCTGCGGTCGAGCCAGCCCCAAACTGGCCGCTGTCGGGTTGGTCATTCTCGACCGATCTCCCGCCTACTGAGAGAGCGACGAGCATCTGCTCGTGCCATTGTGCCCGCTCGTGCAGTGTCTGGCGGACGACCGGCGACGACTCTCTCGCCGCTCTTCACGCGCGCCGCATGAGGTGGTTGCACGCGTCTGGCCGGCGCCGTCGAGCGCAGCCGCTGATTGCTTACGGTCCCCAGCGGCGGCCGGCGGCCTTTTGTCGATCTGCCCGACATCTGTTGTCGCCGCCGCATACTAATGCACCGCGGCTCGACGGCACCGATCGATGAGAAAGGAGCATCCGGTAAGGGGGTAGACCGGTGCCACCGGCTCTGTGCCGCCGCCCGGAGAGGCGCCAGCGACACCGCCGCACAGAGTGGCGCTGCCGACTTCGGCCGGGGCATTGTGTTGGTGAGATGGGTGTCGGATGGCTTCCGTTTCATGACTTATTTCGGCGGCAGCCCTTCGGCGGGTGTAATTGAAGCGTCAGCACCTGCCGACCCGCCTCCCTTCTATTTCCGCACGAGCTTCTGATGCGTGAGCAGCAAACTGGATGAAGGCGGAGGCGTTATTAGGTCCTGCCCAGTTTTTACGGTGTTGACTTGGCATGCTCCAAGGGTGAACAGATGACCCACGGTCTAACCAGCTCTAACCAGATATCGATTCTGGTTTCTTAGCAGCGAGTAAGGTTGAGCGAGGAAGGAGAGCGCTGTTAACCGGCGGATGATGAGAGACGGATTAGGTAAATGTGCCAATCTTCAAACTGTGGCCGAAATTCTAGGTACATATGAGAGATAGTTGGTGATTTCGAAATGCGAAAAACTAGCGCATAGGGTCCCCTTATTTGTGCATCCCCTACAACGCGCGGGGGAGCGGTTTGATACATTGCGTGTTAAGAAGTCAAGTGGCCAGCCAGCCTCGCACGCATGGTGCTGCCTGCCGCGGGGATCTGGCCAGCTGCCGCATACCAGTTCGTCGCGGCTCTGTTTATTGGACGGCAAGACAGTCCGCCTCACAGCTGCGCATGCTTAGTTTTGAACCGTCTGCAGCAGCATACATCGTGATTGAGAACAGCATTGATAATTGTGGGTTGAGTTAATGCCTGGCGATGGGTGATTGTCGACGCCCGGAACATCGCGCATTACCTGAGAACATTTGGAGTTTTTTGTTGTTGTTTTTGCTTGTCGCGTGGTGCCATGGGGCGAGTCGGCCTTTCTCAGTAACGATGCCTGGCTCTCTCCCACGTGATAGTCCGAAGCACGCGACAGAAACTGTGTTAGAACGGTTCTACTGCATCATTTGCCATTCCAGGTACATTAACGCTGACCACTGCTGCCCTCGTGTATGCCGTCGGCATTTATTATAAGTTGAAATGGTATCAGTATCAGAATGCTGCATTCCACCACATAAGTACAATTGGTCTGGAAGCACTTATTGCATCCGTGCACAGGGCGATCCAAACGACTTGTTATGATAAGACTGACAGGCGTCTTCGCAGTGGCAGCCTCCGTTCAAGATGTCCCTCGTACCGATATGCTGTCCCGAGACTGCACGCTTCCACGCTGAACCCACGGGGCATCCCGATGGGTACGCTTCGGTCCAGCGTATAATTTGCAGATTTCCAGCGGCCGTTGTGTCGGACGTGATCGTGGGGTCGATGCTCCCCTTCGACGCAATACCATGATGTGGCCGTCCGGGGCCAGGTTGACCCTGTGATTAGCTGTGCCTGATCGTTAACTTGTCGTCGGATCAGACAGCCTCCTGGCCCTGGCACTCGAGCCCAGCGCTAACCCACGCCAAGTCCTCGACTGCGTGTCCCCTCGGTCGGCCACAATTCCGACTTAGTTATCGCAGCCCCCCTCCCAACCTGCTACGTGCTCCCCTGCCCAGTCAGCCGGCTGCTGACACCTCGTCCTCCCCGGCGTCGTTGCAGCCACTACATGCGGCAGATTCTGGAGGCGCTGCGCCACTGTCACGAGAATGACATCGTGCACCGCGACATCAAGCCGCACTGCGTGCTGCTCGCCACCAAAGAGAACTCGGCGCCCGTGAAGCTGGGCGGCTTCGGCGTGGCCGTGCAGCTGCAGCATCAGCAGCTGATCAACGGCGGTAGGTGGCGGCACTGGCGCGCGGCCGGCGCCGACGCGGTCGCGCCGGACAGTGATGTGGCGGGAGTCCGTCTCCACGTGCAGAGAGACGCAGACGGACGCAGACGTCAGTCCGGTGATGCTCGCTCGGCAGGGACGATGATCACGCGCGGCGGCGTGATGTGGGCGGTGCGTGACGGGGTCCGCACGCCGGGTACTGGACGAAAGGACCGACTGTTCCTCCTCTCTTCTATCCGTGCACATACACAAACGGGACAAACAGCACGGGGTAGCAGCACACAGTCGCCGCGTGGCAGAAGAAGCTGCAGTTATGTGTGATTCCGTTTCCTGCCCGCGGCAAGGTGTCCAGGTCTCGATGCGGGGTGCCTGGACACGTCGTAGTAGGTGCACGGTGGTTCGGGCACTCAGGTGCAGGTGCCGTTGGTACTCCCAGGACTTGACGCTACGTCTGTGCAGTTAAGTGCTTACAAAATTGCTGATCGCTTCGGACACACATGACTGACAAGTTGAAAGTGAAGCTCACACAGCTGCGCCTGCAACTGACCACATGTTTGACCACCTTGCTGACCAGACGACTTCCTGACAGGACACGTGACCACCTCACACCGCTGACACTGCAGGTGCTCGTGCGACTGATAACACCACCGAGCGTGGGCTTGGATCACCTGGCTGGGCTGACACAGTACTCCCACGAGTTCGCATACGGTTGCCTTTACTGGGCCGAATCGCCGTCTGGTTGGATATGTCGCTCCTCTGATATAGTTGGCAAGGTGCTTCAGCCTGCGGGGAAATCTGTCATATTTGGTAGCGGTGGGGCTATGACCAGTGGTATGGTCTTGTATGTGCTTTTTGCCCAGAGTGTTCCAATTTGTTGGCGTGCCTGCTTGTGTTTCCTGACGATCTGGAGGGTTTCGCTCTGCGTTTCCCGAGGTTCGCTATGGAGTATATTGTCTATGACATAGCAACTGTACCAGTGCAGTTCCCCGTTCGTTTATGTTATGGGGCATATTTGACCACAGATCATGCATTTCCTTCGACGTTATTCTTTTGTAACGAATGCCGGTTTATTCCGTATATTTTTGTTCGTCATATATCGTGGTACCCTTTGTTTTGTGTGGAGTAGCCTGAGGCCTGAAACTAGTGCGTTTTGTGCTGGCTTTGTTAGTCCCCCACCATTGCTTGGTCGCTGCGCGTCCCTGAACGCGTCCCGCAAGTTTTGTGTTGTACTATGCATACATGCCCGCCCATGTCGTCAACGCACGGTCCATGCGCATGGTTGTTGGTCCGGGACTGGAGCCTGGTGGCAGGCTGTGACGTCGTTCTGTGGCATGGTCCAGAGCCTGTTACCATGGAAACGCGGCCCGGTATCGGCCACGTGGCCCGTGACTACTTCAGCGCCGACAAAACAGGTGAGTTCAGCACGGCGCTCTCGGCGAAGGTTTTCGTTTGCAAGATCGGTTCACCGTAGCGTCTCGACGCCTGTGTTGGTAAATCAGTATGCTAACGGCAACAACGTTTGCTTCTGAACCAGTACTACCAGATCAACACGTTCACTATTCTCAGACATTCCCCACAGTGTCGGTATTCCCTACAGCTGAGGTTCGTTTCGCTGGCATTCCCCACAGCTAAGGTTCGTTTTGCGGCTGGCCATCTTTCCGGTGGTCCGAGCAGTTGGGCAGCTCTTCCCGATGGTCTGGGCCGTCGGGCAGCTATTGCATGTGGCACCTGAGAGATAGCAGGCGTGTCGTCATTTAGGCGGTCACGTGATACTCTGCGTGTTTTGTCTGTTGTTTTTCCTGATTTCAAGTTACAGCACGTCATCATTTGTTGGTTGGCCAGTTCGGTGCATGGGGTTCTCATGCGCGGAACCACACGCTGTTTTTAGTCACCCTTCTCCAGGCAATTTCCCAACTTGTCGGCACTAGAAAATTGTGGTAGTTGGACTGAGAGTGTCGGGTTAGGGACATCGCGTATGCTGTCCGCTTCGCTGCCATCCCCCAATCCAAACTGTGGAGCTGCTGCCGCCACGATCGGGCCACCTGCCGACGTCTTTCTTCGCAGCTGGACGCGGCATCCACCGCCCTGAGGCGACACTGGCCTGTGTGAGGGCATCTCCTGCTGCTGACAGCCGAATCCCTGAGCTCCACGTGTCATGTTGTTTCCTGAATCCAGTGCGTCGTCTCGGGCTCACCCGTGCGAATTAAAGGTTGTCCAGTTCATCCTGGGGAGGACTGTGCCGTCCCGTCACGCGGTCTATTCCGTCCTTGGTTGCCCTGCGCCCCCTCGGAGCTGATCTGCTCCCGTCTCAGATCTGGTCTCGCCGTCTCAGAGCTAACCTTACGTCCTCTCGTGATTGGCCCACGGCGCTGCAGATCGTGACGTGCCGGTCCGTGTTAATCTACATCCTCTGCGACTGCCTTATGCCGTCTCGGAATTGATCCGCGCCACCGTACCCCCCCCCCCCCCCCCCCCCGCCCGGTCTGCATCAGGTCTAGGTGGCTGACCCATGCCGTCTGAAAGTGGGTCCGCGCCCCGCCGCCGTCTCCTGGCCCGTCAGCTGTGTCGTGGCGCTGCTGGCCGCCGTGTGACCGCCGTCCGTCCTGGGCTGCCCCCCCCCCCCCCCGCCGCCGTCTCCTGGCCCGTCAGCTGTGTCGCGGCTCTGCTGGCCGCCGTCTGACCGCCGTCCGTCCTGGGCTGCCGCCCCCCCCCCCCCCCCGTCTCCTGGCCCGTCAGCTGTGTCGCGGCTCTGCTGGCCGCCGTCTGACCGCCGTCCGTCCTGGGCTGCCCCCCCCCCCCCCCCCGCCGTCTCCTGGCCCGTCAGCTGTGTCGCGGCTCTGCTGGCCGCCGTCTGACCACCGTCCGTCCTGGGCAGGCCGCCCCCCCCCCCCGCCGTCTCCTGGCCCGTCAGCTGTGTCGCGGCTCTGCTGGCCGCCGTCTGACCGCCGTCCGTCCTGGGCAGCCGCCCCCCCCCCCCCCCCGCCGTCTCCTGGCCCGTCAGCTGTGTCGCGGCTCTGCTGGCCGCCGTCTGACCGCCGTCCGTCCTGGGCTGCCCGCGCCCCCCCACCCCCACCACCCCCCCCCCCCCACCCCCCCCCGCCGTCTCCTGTCCCGTCAGCTGTGTCGTGGCTCCGCTGGCCGTCGTGTGACCGCCTTCCGTCCTGGGCAGGCCGTATCGGCACGCCGCACTTCATGGCTCCGGAGGTGATACAGCGTGAGGCTTACGGCAAGCCGGTAGACGTGTGGTCGGCCGGCGTCATGCTGCACATCCTGTTGTCCGGCATGCTGCCCTTCTACGGCACCGGCGACCGGCTCTACGACAACATCTGCAGCGGCAAACTGAACGTCAGTCGCCGGCTGGACGACGTCCCGTGATTCTGTGACCATTTCCCGCCTCTCGCCCTTGGCGCCCTTTTGCGCAAAATGGCCGCTGCCATCGACACGCCTCTCAAACCCTAATACCATAACACCTCACCCCTGGTGCTCCAGCTCGGCCCAGGATATTGCAACACCGGGATATGGCTCTTTATTGCGCTGTAATGGTGTCGTGTGGGATGTTCGAGAAGTCAGTATTTTCTTCAAGGCTATTATTAAACAAAAAATGCTTCTGGGGCGATTAGAACTGGTACGCTGTTGCAAGGAGGTGTGGGTCTCTGCCACTTTGGTATACGAGGGTGGCCGAGGCACGTGATCAGCGAGTCCAGCTGTGTCAATTTTAGGCTGAACTTGTTCTTGATAAGCCATGTCAGCTTATCTTTCTGACTGGCAACCGAATGATCCCCACATTGACAGCACATCTGGCCTTGCCGACGTTGGTGCATTGTGCGCTGTGCTTACCGCATGTTGAGAAACAGCTTCATGCCCAGAAGAGCTTCCACAGAAAGGATTTACACCAAACGCATACCTGCCGGCTCTTCTTCGCCAAACGAATCTTGTATTAAAACATCCGCACGCTTCATGCTGGGCTCTTATGAGCGTTCCGCGCGCGTGCTGAGTGGCGCGCCTGACCTGTGTTGGCGCCGTCAGCTGCACTCGGGCCCGATGGAGGAGGTGAGCGAGTCGGCGCGGGACCTGGTGCGACGCATGCTGACCTGCGAGCCGCTGCAGCGGGCCACCGTCTCCCAGGCGCTCAACCACGCCTGGATCAAGGTGAGTCGCCTCCGCCGAGGGGAAACGATCAAGGTGAGCCGCCTCCGCTGAGGGGGAACGATCAAGGTGAGCCGCCTCCGCTGAGGGGAAACGATCAAGGTGAGTCGCCTCCGTCGAGGGGAAACGATCAAGGTGAGCCGCCTGCGCCGAGGGGAAACGATCAAGGTGAGCCGCCTCCGCTGAGGGGAAACGATCAAGGTGAGCCGCCTCCGCTGAGGGGAAACGATCAAGGTGAGTCGCCTCCGCCGAGGGGAAACGATCAAGGTGAGCCGCCTCCGCCGAGGGGAAACGATCAAGGTGAGCCGCCTCCGCCGAGGGGAAACGATCAAGGTGAGCCGCCGGAAAAGGTGAGCCGCCTCCGCCGAGGGGAAACGATCAAGGTGAGCCGCCTCCGCCGAGGGGAAACGATCAAGGTGAGCCGCCTCCGCCGAGAGGAAGCGATCAGGGTGAGTCGCCTCCACCGAGAGGAAACGATGAAGGTGAGTCGCCTCCGCCGAGGGAAAACGATCAAGGTGAGCCGCCTCCGCCAAGGAGAAACGATCAAGGTGAGCCGCCCCCACCGAGAAGAAATGATCAAGGTGAGCCGTCTCCGCCGAGAGGAAGCGATCAAGGTGAGCCGCCTCCGTCGAGGGGAAACGATGAAGGTGAGTCGCCTCCGCCGAGAGGGAACGATCAAGGTGAGCCGCCTCCAAGGGGAAACGATGAAGGTGAGTCGCCTCCGCCGGGAGGAAACGAGCAAGGTGAGCCGCCTCCGCCGAGGGGAAACAGTGCGCCCACACGTCTGGATCAAGGTCAGGCGCCTCCGCCGAGGGGAAACAGTGCGCCCACACGTCTGGATCAAGGTCAGGCGCCTCCGCCGAGGGGAAACAGTGCGCCCACACGTCTGGATCAAGGTCAGGCGTCTCCGCCGAAGGGGAACAGTGCGTTCACACGGCTGGATCAAAGTCAGGCGTCTCCGTCTTGGGGAAATATGGCGCTCAAATAATATGGCCTGCTCAACGACGGCTGAATCGGTATGAGGCACCCTCGCTGTAGGAGGACCGCCGCGCTCCAGGCGCTTAAGCTCAGCTGACTCGAGGCGAGGCGCGCTGGAATGTATCGACAGCTGGGAGCGTGCCGGAGCCTCGTGAGCCGGCACGACCAACGCCGAATGGCTCAGTCATGCCAGCTGCGTAACGCTTCACGGACCCGTCGCACAGAAGCGCGAATCCTTTGGCTTGTTCAATGCCACGAGTAAGATGACATTTATTTGGTGTTCTGTATGTGATCGATATTCCTACTCTGTGACACATTATCTGCTTGACATATTTCTACTCTGTGACGCATTATCTGCTACCATCCCGTTGCACGTTGTTCCTCAATGTCGTGGATAAGACTTTCCCATACGTTTTAGTCCCAGTACACCACTCTTGTCATTAAGCAGCGTGTCACTGCGAGCTGGCGCGTGTCTGTGGCGGCCGGCGCTGACCGGCGCCGGTGCGCCTCTGTCCGGGACAGGATCGGGAGAACTGCACGTCGACCGTGCACCTGACGCGCACCGTTGACGAGATGCGCTGCTTCAACTCGCGCCGCAAGCTGAAGGGCGCCGTGCTGGCGGCCGTCAGCTCGGCCCGCTGGCTGCCGATCCACGCTGACGCCGGCTACGACGGCCTGGCCGAGTCTGCTGAAGAGGAGGCCGCCACGGCAGGTCAGGAGGCGGGCGGGGACGGGGCGGTCACGCGTCACGCCCCAGCAGTTCGGCGGGCAAGGCTGGTCACCGGTCGGCGGGCAGGGCAGATCACAGCTCAGGCCGCAGTTTCGGCTCACCTGGTGCGTGCCAAATACCATTCCGAAGGCGGCACGTCCGGCTCCGCGCGGACTCGGCGCGGAGCTGGACGTCTTTTATTGGGCTTTCAGAGTCGTTGACTACACATTTGACCTGTCCAGTCCCGACCTTATTGGGTCCCAATGAGGTCTTTCAAGCTATCACCAGAAATGAAACTATTAGAGCCCCCCTCCCCCCCCCCGCGAACTAGATATGGACGTGAGTTCCAGCTATAAGTACTGCATCCTGTCGTGTTCAGATTGTTGATATGCCGTGAGCTGTGTCCAGATGTCGCCGCGCAATCCAGCCAGACGTCTTTGTTGTTCTGGACTTTGTCCAGCCGACATCCTCTGGCATCTGTTCAGTTAGCCGTGGTCCTCGGTGTTGGGGCCGAACGTCCCAGGCTTTTGGATCTAGACCGTGGAGCGGCCGGCCGGACGTCAGCTGTTCTAGACAGTGACCTGGTCTCGTTTGCGCGTGGGAGTTGGTGGCCGGGCCGAGCTCACCTACCCCATAGTTTTAGTCAATGAGCGCTAAAGTAGAATGTAGAGACGCATCCATTTCAGCAGAGAACCGGGATACATTTCAGCGGTATTGATATTCGTGCATTGCATTGTTTTTGTTTATTTCCGGCGCATCAGGATTATCCGACTATAGAGAACTGTCAAGGAAACTCTTCGATGCTTTCCCTGTTGCGCTCTGCCAGTCTAGTTGGCGGCACGAAAACAGTTTTAAAGTGTCAAGCTTTAATTCTGATGCGGCTGTTGCGGCTCGTCATGTGCGTCCCCCATTTTCTGACAGTTTGTTTTGTCCCAGCTGTTTCCCAGATCCTGGACTCCTTAGATGACATCCAGTGCCTGCAAGGATGCCCGATCAGGGATTCGACATTTCTGAAGCCGATCTTGGATGATCGGCAGCTTCACTGCCTCCTAGAGGTAAGCGCTGGGCGTCAACTCACACAAAGGCCAGAACGTTACACGTTTTGTATAATACCTCCGGGGAAATTAATGAATGCTCCAACAGGTAACGATTCCTGTTTGAAGTAACGCTAGTATAGGTCACGAAACATCTGAAAAGACATCGTACCTTTTGTACAACGAAAAAAGAGTACTCGTTGCATGCTTTTCTCCATTTATGACTGGTATTAATGAGTCGCTCAGTAATTTTTGTCATGCATTATTACACATGAAACGTTCACATGGAAGATGGCAACATGAAGGAACATAGGTGGTTTGTAACGTTGCAAATTTTTAAATATGAAGGCAACGAAAATTCATTCACTTATTCAAAAGTATTTTAGGTGCAATAACTGCGTGGTTATAAAGCTGCTGAAAGGGCTTGTTTGGGTGGGGTCACCCTTTCAAACACACTGTAGATGCATCACATTTTGGCCTCCGTAAAAGTTTCGGTAAACACTCAATGACTGCTTGCTCGAGATAACCGTTCCGGGGATACCCTTCCTCACTGAGGTCAGAAAACTTTATTTTCGCAAACATGTACCGACGAGACTTTGATAAGGCTAGGCAAGTCATCCCCTGGCTCAAATACGAACATGGAGCAACTGCTCTGGAATAAAGCTGGTCGTCATGACTAGTTGATTCATTATCTTGGATCTCTGAAACTACGATTGGTACTTCCTCTCATCCGTAATGTACGGAATCAGTTGGTCAAAAACGATCCATCGCCCTATCGGTAACAGGCACACGTAAGTACACACTGGGATGTGGGATGAGCGAGGTGATGATGATGATAGTCGCGATTGTTGCCACCTTGCAGATGATACGAACATGAAACACCTGTCAAAACGTACGTGAACGCAGCCCATCGCCTCTGAGGACCCAAACGGTAGTTTTAAAGTTCGTTCGAATGTTGTACCTTCATGGGTTAAGCAGGCAAAGGTGCACCGATGTTTAGCATTCACGGAAAATAAATCGCAAATGACATTCGTGTAGTTGCTTAATTTTGGGACTGGCAAGGCCTTGCTGATTGAATTGACTGGGTGGATAAGGTCGGAATGGTAACGTGTTTGTAACCATGACGAAAATATAAAAACGCAAATGATTTGGGTAGATATGTGTCGCGATTAGGTATCTATGTCTGAGCAATTTTCATGTCCCAATTTTCTCGGTTTAGTCCACAGTGTATGGCACCTGAGGCCGGCTTCGAAAGAGTGACGTCGGTGTTTTTCTAACGTACTTACGAGTCAAGCTGTCTAGGTCGCTCAGTAAGCTGTAGACGATAGGTTCGGCTATATCCTCTGGCTGCTGTCACGTCTCAATCTCCTCTGATTGCCGAGAAGGCAGACCAGGATTTCCAGGGCTGTTGCGCCTACCTTCAGTAATATGTTGAGTGGGACAACTGAGCAGGCTTCTGCTCCGTGTGTGAACCAGGGACCTTTTCGTACCCTTTTCCGACTTACCATAACTAGGAGAGCCGGAGACTTACCGCGCCTCAGCGGGATGACCGCGGGTATTACGGACGTCCCGCGGCCTCATAACGCGCAGGAGCGCGATACAATGTCACCTACCGCGCCACCCCATGCTGAGCAGGAGAACCCCGCTCGCGTGGAGCGGGGGGGGGGGGGGCGGCGGCGCGGCAGCGTCTGGGCGCGCGCGCCGCGTGTCCGGCGTGCCGCTCTCGCGGCGCCGGCGGCCGACACCCGGCAGGACGTCGCTGATGATTGTTTGCAGGACCGGCCGGTGGGTACCAGTGGCGACGCTATTGATTGCAGTCACGGCGAGCAGGCGGGCCCGGCCGGACCGGGCAGGCGGCGCCGCTTCAGTATGCCGTGTCCCGGTCACGAGGTGGCATCGACGTTGCGGGGCGGCGCGCCGGTGGTGGTGTTCAGTGCTGGCCTAAAGAGACACGAGGGGTGCTGACCCGCATCCCCCGGCAAACTGTGTTCGGGGTTCTGCGCTCTGCAGCGCCCAGTCTGGAAGTCGGTCTGGTCGGGGCAGGGCAGTGGTGACGCTGCCTGACGGCGATGTTGTAGGCGAATCGCGATGTCGGCGTTCCCCGTAGTGAGCGGCGCTCCGCCGGCTCGGTGCCGTTTTGAGAGCGGACGACAGTTGGCTCGCGCACCCGCCACGTGGTGGTGAGGGTGCCCGGCCGCACCGCTGGCTGCCACACCCGTTGAACGTTGCTCATTGTCGTGCGGCTGCAAGCGATAGACCGGCAGCGCGTGCTGGCCGGTGGTGTGGGTGTCGCGCGGGACCATCAGCCGTCCTGCTGCGCGTGGCAGAGTGCGCTTGCTCTCACACCGCGCACGCGTGCTGCTCTCGAGCTCGCTGGAAGCGGGAGCTCGCGCGCTCAGATCGGATCTCGGTGCGCCGCGGACGGCAGAGGTGCGGAGCGAGCCGGCCCCGCCGCTCGCCGTCGGCCGCGGCAGGCCGCGCGTAGTGCAGGCCAGCGGCGCCGCGTGCCGGGCGCGCGGCTGGCCTCCCGGCGATGAGCGGCTGCGGCGGCCGGGTGGGCGTACCTCGTGTGGACCGCGCCTGTCAAACGGAGCCGGTGCCGCGCGCGCTCCGCTGCCGCCTCTGCCTGTGCTGCGGCTGCGGCGGCGCGGCCGTGCTGTGCGGCGCGCAGCGGCTCCAGCTTAGCAGCTGTGACGTCGCCATGGAGCTGGCGCTTGTCGGGCTGGTGCTGCGACAGTGGCGCCGCCACGTTCAGAAGCAGGCTAGCGTACGCCAGGGCCAGGTCAGAGCCGCTGCTGCTGCCGTCACACGTACTGGCAGAACTGGTAACAGCAGCCGGCACTCTTGACTGCTTATCATACCAAGGCTTGTGGTGTGAGAGTAGCATTGAGTTTTGGCGTTCTGCATTTGTTTTACGCGTTTAAGGTCGCGGTTTTCACTACATTGTGGCGCATCAGCGTACTGGATTTGTGGTGCATCAGTGTGCTGATCTTTCCCCCCACCCCACCCCACCACCGCCACCACCACCACCTCCGAGGTCTGCACGGAGACGGTGTCGTCGCCGAAGGCGCACCAGACAGCGACGCGGGCCGTGAACATGCTTATCAGCCGGGGCGGATGTTATCGCGCTGCCGCCAGCTGCACCGCGTCTGCGGCTCGTGACGCGGCCGGGTCGGGTCCCGACGGCGGCCGGTCGTTCACGTCCGCCGCGACCGGGTCACAGACCAGCCGGCGCGCCGGCGCCCGGCCCGCCCCTTGCAGGGTCGGCTGTGCCGCAGCGCTCGCCTGCCCGGCCCTGGCCAGCCGGCCGCGCCACCGACCGCCAATCGGTACTTGCCATCGATGGATGCCGGGCGATCGGGCAACGCCGGGCATGTCGTATATAGAGTGGCAGTACATTGTCATCCGTGAACGGTACAGTATGGCGGAAATATTTTCGGGAAGGCCGTCTCATACCGCAAGTGCGGATACTTGTGCCGTCCCACTTCATTTATGCAATGACGTATCGCGGCGGTTTCATGAAATCGCATGCATGGGCTAATATCGGCCAGGCCCCTGTATTATCGAGCGATCGTGGAGTACGGGATTGGTCATAGCGGTAGCGTTGGACATGTCCAGCACTACCACGGTTCGCTGGAGTCGGACAAGGCGCGTGTGAGGTAGAGCTAGACATGTCCAGCACCGCCGCGGCTCGCTGGAGCCGGACAAGGCGCGTGTGGAGCAGCGCTAGACATGTCCAGCACCGCCGCGGCTCGCTGGAGTCGGGCAAGGCGCGTGTGAGGTAGCGCTGGACATGTCCAGCACCGCCGCGGCTCGCTGGAGTCGGGCAAGGCGCGTGTGAGGTAGCGCTGGACATGTCCAGCACCGCCGCGGCTCGCTGGAGTCGGGCAAGGTGCGTGTGAGGTAGCGCTGGACATGTCCAGCACCGCCGCGGCTCGCTGGAGTCGGGCAAGGTGCGTGTGAGGTAGCGCTGGACATGTCTAGCGCCGCCGCGGCTCGCTGGAGTCGGGCAAGGTGCGTGTGAGGTAGCGCTGGACAGGTCTAGCGCCGCCGCGGCTCGCTGGAGTCGGACAAGGCGCGTGTGGAGCAGCGCTAGACATGTCCAGCACCGCCGCGGCTCGCTCGAGCCGGACAAGGCGCGTGTGAGGTAGCGCTAGACAGGTCTAGCACCGCCGCGGCTCGCTGGAGCCGGACAAGGCGCGTGTGAGGTAGCGCTGGACATGTCCAGCACCGCCGAGGCTCGCTGGAGTCGGGCAAGGCGCGTGTGAGGTAGCGCTAGACATGTCTAGCACCGCCACGGCTCGCTGGAGTTGGGCAAGGCGCGTGTGAACAAACCGGCGTCCGGTGCCAACAGATGGCGTCGTGTTCGGTGGTCGGCCGATGTAATGAGATCGGGGCGGACGACCAGGAGACCCGCAAAACCAGGCGCGGCCGGGTCCGAGATGTGTAACATTGCGTCTCAGGTTCGGGTCTCGTCGGGGCGGACGGCCTGGAGACCCGCAACATCAGGCGCGGCCGGCTCTGAGATGTGTAACGTTGCGTCTCAGGTTCAGGTCTCATCGGGGCGGACGGCCTGGAGACCCGCAACATCAGGCGCGGCCGGCTCTGAGATGTGTAACGTTGCGCCTCAGGTTCAGGTCTTATCAGACTTGTCCTGCAGACTCCAAAGCCAACCGGCGGACGCGCTGAAAGTTAGGTGGACGGTTCCTGAAATGCCCCTATAGAATTCCGCAGATAAACGCCCGAAGCCAATGTGACTCAGTTTACAACACCAAAACCAAACAGCTATAAGGGACAGTCTTGGGGACTATAAGGGACAGTTTGTCTTGGAGCCTCCCCGGAAAAGTCCGCTTTTTCCCTACTCAGAATCTGCACCGTCGCCCGTGCCATCATATGTGGTAGCCCGTCATCCCCGCTCCTGTTCCAGCTGTACAACCGATTGACGTCATCCCTGCCGCTCCTGTTCGAGCTGTACAACCGATTGACGTCATGTCCGCCGCTCCTGTTCCAGCTGTACGACCGGGTGACGTCACGCCAGCTGGGGTCGGCGCCGGCGCCCGCCAGCGACGCCATCTCTCGGTGGCGCGACGCACTGGAAGTTCTGCGCGAATACGAGGATACGGGCGACCTGGCCGACATTCTGGAGCTGAAGGAGATCCTCTGTCGACCGCACATGAAGGTCAGTCGATGCGGGCTCGGCCAGACGTCCGGCTGACACCCGCCACGCGGTGGTGCGCCCCGATTATGGCTGTCTCCGGCCTCCGTCCTGCTGCTGTAGCTGCCGCACCTGCCAGCCAAAAGACCACTGTGTCTGCCGCCTGAGAGCGGGCTCGTGTTCCCAGCGAGAGCTGCCGCTCCCCTCGTCCCGTCACAGTGCCGTCATACCCGGCCATCCGCCGTCCTCTGTCGCCGGTCCGGCTGACGGAGCTGGCTCAGAGCGCCGGGCCACGCGACACGTTTGGCATCGACCTCTCTGACCGTGCCTCACGCCCCTACCACACGTCACCTCATACCCCTACCACACTTCACCTCACACCTCTGCCATACTTCAACTCACGCCACTAACACGCTTCACCTCACACCTCTGCCACACTTCACCTCACGCCGCTACCACACTTCACCTCACACCTCTGCCACACTTCACCTCACGCCACTACCACACTTCACCTCACACCCCTACCACATTTCACCTCACATCTCTGCTACACTTCACCTCACGCCCCTACCACACTTCACCTTACGCCACTACCACATTTCATCTCACACCACTACCACACTTCACCTCATACCCCTACCACACTTCACCTCACGTCACTATCACACTTCACCCTACGCCCCTGCCGCACTTCACCTCACGTCACTACCACACTTCGTCTTGCGCCACTATCACACTTCACCTCACGCCCCACCACACTTCACCTCACGCCCCTATCACACTTTACCTCACGCCCCTATCACACTTCACCTCATGCTACTACCACACTTCACCTCATGCCCCTACGTTAGATTATACGCCACGTTACGCCCTTATATCACGTCACCGCCTTACCACACGATCTTGCCATTCGCGACCTCGCGCTCCTGCATCACCAGCGTCTGCTGAGGCACCTCGGCCTTCCAACACTACGTAGCGGCACTGAATAATGAAAACTGGATGGACCGTGGCGGCCCTTGCTGCCCCGCTCTCGCCGCTGCTGCGCCGCTCCCGCCGCTGCTGCGCCGCTCCCGCCGCGTCTCTCATATATCCGTCGAGTGGTCCGATTTCATATCCGTCGTGCCGTCCATGCAGATCATCAATGGAATTTCGGAACCATAACACGGGTAATGCACGAGAAATGGATTACTCTTGTGCATTAACGCGCATTAGCGGTATAGTGTGGATGTATTGCGAGAAGTTATTTGGTAACTGGGAAGGAAATGCGGATTCTCGTCTTCGTCACGGTGCAATACTGGAAATGTTGGTGAAGATGACGCTAGATTATGTATGGTATGTGCGACGCTTCGTGAAGCGCCGATGGGGCATGATGGAGCGCGTTGTTTGGCACCTCCATCCCTCGCCCCGGTGAAAACCTCGTTCGTGCTCTTCGCCGCTGTCACGTGGGCGTTTGCGGCTGGTCAAAAGTCCTGCCCGCCTTCATTAAACGGGACGTTGCTGCGACGACATTATCGACAAACGACAAACGAGTCGAGAAGGCTCGCGTCGACTTATCTCAAGCCCTTGCTGTGAGTAAGCTTCTCGCGTGCGTTCATGCTCACCCGCGATCCATGGTGTGGAAGATGTCATCGTGAGGTAAGACGTTGACAGGCACCACATGTGAAGAGTGTCGCCCATTTTATGTTCGAGGTACCCGTTAAACGGAAGTGTAAGCCCGTGGCTACCTATGCCAAACAAATTTGGTTCTTTCCTCGCCGCGCGTACAAAAGCAGGAGCCGTTATAACCGAGTGGTTGGCGTGTCGGACTTCCGCGTGGGACCCGGGTTCGAATCCCGGCTGCACCATGGCTCCTGAGCGCTGATGTGGCCAATGCAGTCGCTGGCGCTCCATAGTAGGGATCTGACGGCGTGCCTCGCGTTCAGTTCAGAAGCGTTTAAACAACTAGATGAGACCAGGCTAATGCGAGCGTTCCCTATGTGCCTCCAAAAAAGGTGACATACTTCTTATCTGTCCCAGGCGTAACGAAAGTAGATAAGTTCGGACCTGGCTCAGTGTGACATTAACATTACATTGATGATCTATCTATGGTCTGAATTGTGATTGCGGGCATTGTGACGTTCATCGTGTGAATATTTTTAAGCTACCGATTTTCCGGAGAGATTCCGGCTATGCTCGGTAAGGTATACGCGATTTGCGGACGAAATCCATGCGGACATCCACGAAACGTCGATGAAGCCTGACCGCCGGTAGCTGAATTTCATCCAAACTCGACTGAGTCCTTACGAGCCCTAATGATTTCGTTCAGGCCCCTTCAAGCCTGACGTTTCCAGGACATGTCCGTATGACATGCGTGTGATCAAGGTCTTTTGCCACACACTCAAGACAAATATGCTCTATCAGGCACTAAACAAATGCGCCAAATGCGTGCCTGACGTTCTTTCTAACCGCCTTGTTTCAACCTGCTTCGGTCGGGCACCTTTTATGCTGCAGCTTGCAATCAAGGCACGCGTCCGTGGACATTCGCGGTCTTCGGATGGCTTTCGCGCCTGGATCGCATATCTAAGCTGATCGCTCCCGCGAACGATATTCGCGGCGCCCGGGAACGCGTGGTTTCTTCCCATGATTCTAATAAAATCGGTCTCTCCTCTGTCGTTCATAGCAATACCAATGACAGTGATATCGTTTGACTTACATCAGACAGTACGCACGCACGGCGCATGATGCGACGTTATCTATGCAGGAATGGCCTTGAGCTCCTCGTTTTGGGCATTGTGAGCTGGGGATGGAGGGGCCATATTCTGACCACAGTCGGGTTACAGTGTACCAGGAGGTAATAGTTATAATGACGTTATCAGGGATAGCACTAGTTTATTGACAAAATTGAACGTTTAAGCTGTGCCCATGGTCACTGAGTCATTGCATCACCACTTCCTTCTCGTTTACTGAAAGTCGATTGCTGTCAGAATAACAACTCATAATTCACCGTGCCGTAACAAAATTGATGACCTTGGTGCGGGGTCTAACTTCTTGGCTGAACGCAAGTCACTTTTGCTTGGGTTTGTGCACATGTACGTTTATGCAGAATGTTTTGCCGGTCTCTGGCTGTCTTGGCATGGCCATGATAAGCCCAATGTACGTATGAATGCATCAGGAATCTGGTGCGGCGTGACGCAACGCCACTGTGGAGGTGTTGTGATCGTTTGCATTGTTTGTGTCATTTTGAATCAAGGCAGAAGTACCATTTGACCTGCACCATATTGGTATACAATCGGTGTATTCGATTAAAATTTCGGAGATTTAGTTCTTTAGCCCGATGTAACCAAATCACTGTTGGGCTGTTGTATACATCTCCCCCCCCCCCCCCTCCTTTGGGGTTCTTTTGTAACTGTCTGACCTGTATACTCGGGGCTACCTGAACCAATCTTATCTCGCCATGATTCGTTCCTGTAAAGCGAGCTAAGGCAAGATAGATTCATACGCGACACGAGTGAAGGGCGACAGGTGAAGGTGGCGTCATCGTCAGTCGATCAGCTGAAGGCATTGGGCTGCTTCTCGTTAAAACAGCTCGTTTGATTTTGTGTGTTTTTAGTGAAGCCCGCGGAGGTAAACCAGCGGGATCCCGCAGTGTCGGCAGGACGCTCCATCTCCAGCTTGTTTCCCACGTTTGTTTCCATTTCGCTGTCGGGTCCGCACGCGCCGCGTGAAAGGTCAAGAGATCCATTTACTAACGGCCGGGAAGGGCACATCCTAGAGGTGCCGGGCAACATCCTAGAGGAGCTCCGGAAGCGTTCCGCGAATACTGGGACCCTCGGTAAGTTGTGTTGTGTAGGGCTGACACATTGTCACGCAATGGATTTTAGGAGAGATGGATGGAATGCTGGAAACCTTGATAGGTTATGTTATGCAGAGTTGTTATTACCTTGGCATGCTACAGAAAGCTCCTGCAGCCCCAAGTAAGCCAACAAAATAATGAGCTTTTTGTCATATTGTGCACGCAGATTGAAGATGAATTCCCTTTCGTGACTCTTGGTCGAAAAGTGTTCTGATTGGAGATGCTTGGCCTCGCGAAACTAGTGCCAAGAGATTGCGTAATTGTGGCGATGTTTATCGGCAGCTGATGCCGTAAGCATTTGCCACACTTGTCGCAGTATTGGCGTGGTGACGCGGCGCGTAGAAAAGAGAGCGCCAGTCGACCTGCGAAACGCAACACCCACGGCATACGGCCGTGTGGCCAGGTGTCTTCTCCTCGTGTGTCTCCTCCACCCCGAGTCACCAGACCCGCGGCCGCTACCGACTCTGTCAGCAGGAGACGGTCGTCATCCCAGGCGCCCCGGGGCGGAACGGGTCACGTGATCGATACGCGGGCCGTCGGCCGGGAGGAGATGCAATGCTCGCGGCGAGAGCCTGGGCGCCGCTGACAGAGCGCGAGGGGATGGCCTGAGACGTGGGAGCCGTCGCGGGCCATGCGGCTGGCGTCGACCAGGCGCGCGCCCCGCAGCTTGTGGCGAACGGAACGTGTTGTCGCTCGGGGCCGTTCGCGCGCGAGCTAGCCAATCAGCGGCCCCGCCCCAAATGCAACACTTCACGGCGCGCCGCATTTCCAGGTGACTTATTTGTTGACGCGGCGCGGCGGCGGCGGGACGTTTGGCGGGCGTTCTGTTGCGCCTGGCAGCGCGACGGGCGACCATGATGGCGGCTCGGACGGCCGGGATCCGAACCGGCCGGCGCGCCGGTGTTTATCGCCGCCGACGGGCCGGGCCGGCCGTCAGCTGACGACGAGATACCGGCCCGGCCGCGCCATTAGCGGCCGAGCGGCGGGCCCGGCCCCCGGGGAGGGCGGGGTCGCGCGCTGGGCCCCGGCAGCGAGCGAGGCAGGACGCTGGCGAGGAGGAGGATGAGGAGGCGGACGTGGGGAGGGAGGGAGGATACGACGGAGGTGGGGAGGGGAGGATACGGCGGGGCGTAGGGAGGGAGGGAGGATGCGGCGGACGTGGGGGAAGGGAGGATGCGGCGGGTCTTGGGGA